GCGGTGCTGGGACGGACCGGGACACCCCGGGACACACCGGGACACACCGGAACCCCACCGGGACATTCCGGAACCCTCCGGAACCGCACCGGGACACACTGGAACCCCACCGGGACACACCGGGGCCCTCCGGATCCCTCCGGGATGCCCCGGACCCGCCGGGCCGCGGGATGCTGTTCGCCGAGACCCAGCTGAGGCGGCACGGCTGGCGCCGAGGTGGGGCTGGGCGGGGGTCCTCGGACCGCGGTCCCCGGCCTGTCCCGCCCCACCTTGGGCCCCCCTGAACGCCCCCGGCTCCCTCCGTGCCCCCCCAGACCCCATCTCCCTCCAGGACCCAGCTACCCCCAAGCCCCGGGACCCTGCAGACCCAGGCAGCCCCCCCAGATCGACCCCAATGGTCCCCAGAGCCCGCCCCCCTCCTGCCGGCAGGACCCGGTCCCGACCTCAGCCCGCCCCCGGGGGTCCTCAGCCCCCCGGCCGTGCGGGGGTGACGGGTGCCTTGTCGGCAGGGCAGGGGCTGGGCAGGAGGGAGGACGGCATCGCCGAGGCTATCCGGGTGAAGGTGAAGTGCGACACGGCGGGGGTGAGTGCAGATCCCCCCCCGGCCCTGGCCCGCCGCCCACCGCCCGCCGCAGCCATTCCCGCGGCTCCTCTGCACCCTGCAGGTGGGACACGACGCGGCCGAACCCTTCACCTTCCACTGGTGGGACCATGTCTTCAACAAGGCGGCTGCCAACATTGCTGTGGAGGCCGGACAGGTTGGAGGGCTGAGGGGTGGCAGGGACACCCGCTGGGACAGGGATGGGGTTGAAGGCAGGGGAGGGTGTTTGGGTTCCTTCAGTGGCTCCTGCACTGTATTCCCCCAGGCCCTGTCAGCAAGCAGCACCTTGCACGGGGGCTGTGGTGGTGGAGAGGTGCTGCTGGAGGGGCAAAATCCCTTGGACAGATAATTTCCAAGCCCTTTGCCTTTTCCTGCCCAGGATGGCATCTCTGTGAAGGCACTTTGCGAGCAGGGAGGCAGGATCAGCAATAAGAAGCCACGCAAGGCTGGCAACAGTGGGAGCCTGCTGTACGGCCACTTTGTGAAGGTAACCGGCCCCAGGAGCCTGGGGGCTGCATGGTACCCAGCTCATTGCTGCTGTGGCCCCCCAGAGCCCTGTTTTCCTTGCTCCCCTTCCTCACAGTCCCTCTGTGCTGCAGTCAGCCACACTCACAGCCTGTGGGGAGGAGTCCGTGACACTGCCTGCCAACTCTGAGAGCAGTCAGGAGGAGGAGGAGAAGCTGGACCTCTCTTCAGTCAGGAGGTGACTCTGGGTCCCATCCCTTGACAGGGAGGGACGAGGGCTGCAAGGTGGAGCTCTGGTCCAGACCATGTTCCCCCCACACAGATGCTGGGGGTGACAGCTCCTTCTGTCCCACAGGCTGACAGACAAGGAGCTGATGCAGGCGTGTGGGGGCCGCACAGCACACAAGTGAGTGGCTGGGGGGGTTGCCTGGCTGGGCTGCCCCCTCCTCGCAGGGGCTGTTGAGCAGGCTGGGCTGGGGAACATGTTCCCCACTGAGGAGGTGCCAGTCCTTGCTGCCTGTGGTCACTGCAGGGGTGCCCGTCACGGCCTGACCATGAGTGCCAAGCTGGCGCGCCTGGAGGAACAGGAACGAGCCTTCCTGGCCACGTACCGGCAACGGGAGTGGCACCAGGAGCCCCCGGAGAATAGCCAGGGCAAAAAGAAGGAAAGGAAACGGTCCAGGGATGGAGCCAACCCCGAGGTGCTACACAGCCAGGAACCAAACACAGAACAGGAGGAGGTGTTGGAAGAAGAAAAGGTTGTAAAGAGGAAGAAAAAGAACCGGGGGCCAAGCAGAGAAGAGGAGCTGACAGGAGAGGAAGAGGTCAAGAGGAAGAAGAAGAAGAAGAAGAAGAAGATCGTCATGGAGCCATGTGGAGAAGAGGTATCAGGAGAGGAGGGGAAGGTCATGAAGAGGAGGAAGAAGCCAGAGCTAAGCACAGAAGAGGAGGTGGTAGAAGAGGAGGGGAAGGCTGCAAAGAGGAGAAAGAAGAAAAAGAAGAAGCAGGAAGAGGAGAACAAAGAAGAGCCAGCTGAAACAGATGTACCTCCACAAGATACAGATGAGTCAAACTTGGGACACAGCCCTACAAAGAAGAGGAAGAAGAGGAGGAAGAGGGAGCCAGAGTGAGCAAGTGACATGGCTGCTGTGCAGCTGCCAATCCTGCCTGGCTGTGAGAGTCCTGATCCTGGTGCTGGTGGGTGCCATGGGGTGCTCTGAGCTCATTCCAAATGGAGCCCAGCACTGTGTCCCACCTGCCTGGAGATGCTGGGCTAGGACAAGTTGGCCTGGAGCTGGATCATGTTCACCACCTGAACCTGGGCTCCCCCCAAGCCCTGGGACTCATTTGCCATGGGCCTGTCACAGAGGGACACAAGGACACACACCCTGCAGAGTACTGAAATATTTTTTCAAGGGCATGAATAAATCTTTATTATAATCAGGTTATCCTAAAGTGTGAGTGGTGCCATGAGTGAGAGAGCTCCAGATCCCGCATCACCTTGACACCTATAGCACTTGGATTAGGCAGCAACCCCAAACAGAGCTCCCCCTGCAGCCCCTCACCACTGCCACCACCTGGACCTTATGTCTGGGCCTTTTGATCCTGCTGGCTCACACCAAAGCCCGGTGAGGTGCTGAGCACCCTCCTAGCAGAGGCTTGGGCAGAATTCGGCCCTGGTGTGCAGTGCTGAAGCCAAGCCTGGCCCCCCGAAGCTAGAGCTCTGGCCCCAGCTCTAGGTCAGCTGCAGGATGCAGTCTGTGCCAGGGTATGCTGGCAGGTTTAGAGCATATTTCTCCTGGAGCATGGGGGGCACAAACCTGCCCCCAAGGAAGTGGTACCGGCCGGTGAAATGCATCGCTGCCTTCTTGGGTGCCGTCAGGGAGATGAGCATGTCGGGCTGGAGGCCGTCTGCCTTCCCCTTCTCCACATCCCAGCCTGCAACGAGCCTCATGGCCAGGCTGCAGCTGGGACCACCCTGGCTGGGCACCTTCCTCTGGCAGGTGCAGCCACAACTCACCTGAGGGGATGTCGATGCTGGCGATGGGCACCGTGACGCGCTCCAGGGTGCTGAGGATGCTGCCGAAGGGCTCCCGCACTGCTCCTTTGAAGCTGAAGCCGAAAATGGCATCCACCACCAGGCCATAGAGCTCGTCAATGAAGGCAGCCTATGGCAGGGATGGCAGCACGTGAAGGGCAGTCCCGGCCACAGCTCCAGAGGCAGGTGCTGCCAAGCTGGGGGCTTTTCCTCACCTCAGCTGGGAACTCGGGGAGGAAGGGAATATCCATCTTCTCACACTGGGTGGTCAAACCTTCAAAGAGGGACTTGCTGGGGCGCTTGGGGTAATACACGGTTGGCTGATAGCCCTGCAAGAGCAGAAGAGACCTGAACTAACTCCGCTCTGGCACCAGCAGCAGCCAGAGGAGTGGGACCCTGGAGCCCCCAGTACAGGGGTGCACAGGGACCATCATGGGGACCCTGTGGCTGCCTGTGCAAGACTCACAAACATCTTCAAATGCCGGGCACAGACCAGCCCATCACCGCCGTTGTTCCCTGGCCCGCAGACCACCAGCACAGCAGGCTGGCTCGTGGTGAAGGAGCTGGGTGGGTAGGCCTGACGGGGAGCAAGAGGCACAGGGTTATGATGGGGACGTGGGCCCACGCCATGGGGCCAGGATTTGCACAACCCCCAACTGGGATCACACCCAGGATCACCATCTGCCTCCCTGGTGCCCACCTTGGTGGTAGCACAGCTTGGTGTACACAATGCTACGACCCCCAGGACCTTCCCTTGCCCCCCAGGGCCCACACCTTGTCGATGGTGGGGACAGCACTCAACCTGTAGTGCTGGAACTCTCCCCCAGCACCTCCACCCACCCTGGCAGTAGCAGAGCTCAGCCCACAGTGCCAGGACCTCCTTCTGCACCCCAGGACCCCCACCTTGGCAATGGCAGTGGCACAGCTCAGCCCTGCCAGCTCCATCAGCTGGTCCACGCTGAACTTGTACTCAGTGAAGAGCTCCTGGTCGATGGCCTGGGCCTCCTCCTGCCTAGGGTGGGAGATGGCACCCCTGGGTACCCCAAAACCCGGCCAGGCCCAATCCATCCCCTCGACTTTGCAGACACACACAAAGCTGAGCCCCCGTGTACATCTGCACCCCAGCCCCACGTCCTGCCCGACCCCTCTGCACCGCTCAGCCCACCGCACCCCGTGCCCCTCCGCCCCTTGCGGACCCCGAGCACCGCCCGCCTCCTCTCCCCGCTCCCTCCTTCCCCCGGCCCTACCCCAGGAAGCGGAGCCCCGTCGGGCCGGACCCCGCGCTGGGGACGTGCATGGCGCGGCGGGGAAGGCACCGGCACCGCTCCCGGTCCCAGCCCCAGCCCCAGCCCCAGCCCCAGCCCCGGCACCGCCCGCCCGCCCGCGCCGCCGCCACCAGCAGCCCCAGGCCCAGCAGGGCGCGCGGGCCCGGCATGCAGCGGCCCGGCCCGGTACGGTACGGCCCGGTACGGTACGGCCCGGTGCGGTACGGTACGGCCCGGTCCGGTACGGCCCGGCCCGGTGCGGTACGGCCCGGTGCGGTACGGTACGGCCCGGTCCGGTACGGCCCGGCCCGGCCCGGTCCGGTCCGGTACAGCCCGGTGCGGTACGGCCCGGTGCGGTACGGCCCCCGGAGCCCCAAGGAGCAGGCGCGGGGCCGCCCCGGGGCGGAGCGCCCTTCACCGCGGGGCAGGGCCGGGCGGAGCCGCACAGAGGCCGCGGTCCCTCCAGGCCCCCCAGGGTCCAATCCCTTCATTTCCTCCCTGGGACGCCGACATACAAAAGATGGGGAAACGGAGCAGCGTCAAAAGCGTGTTGGCTCAACGCCCCCCTCCCGCTCTGGTTTGGGCCTGCACAGGCCCCCCGAGAAACGGCGTGTCCCCGGTGGCCTCCTGGTCACACGAGGCTGCAGACGAGGGACAGAGTCCTGGTCGCCGTGCGAGGTCTCCGGCGGGACCAGCAGCCGGTAGCAGTGACAGTGGGGTCATCATTCAGGCTGCAAGGTCATGGAGGCATCATGGGGAGTGAGGGTGTCCATCAGGATGCAAAATGGAATAATCAAATTACAGAGTCACAGACTGTTTTGGGTGGGAAGGGATCTTAAAGCTCATCCCGTCCCACTCTCCTGCCATGGGCAGGGACACCTTCCACTACCCCAGGTCTCTGCCCAACCTGGCCTTGGACACTTGCAGGGATAGGGCAGCCACAGCTTCTCTGGGCAGCCTGTGCCAGGGCCTCCCTACCCTCACACACAAGAATTCCTTCCCAGTGTCCCATCTAACCCTGCCCCATGGCAGTGAGAAGCCATTGTCCCTTGTCCTGTCACTCCAGGCCCTTGTTCAAAGTCCCTCTCTAGCTCTGCTGGAGCCCCTTTAAGCACTGGAACGCAGGAGTGGGTAGGAAGTTCATACCAGGGTCCTGGAAACTACCCTTAGATCTGCTGCCCCATCCATAGGGAATGGTTTTGGTGTTGGCTACAAGGTGCCAAAAGCCCAGCCCTTGTGACTTTTGGCTTGGGGTTGTGTCCATTCCAAGAAACAGGTGTCCCAAGCCCTGCTGGGGTCTCCACCTCACCTCTGAGGAACACAACCCTCAGAGGACACTCTGGAGCCCAAACCTCTGGTCCACTCCCTTGCCCACTCCCCCAAGGCATCACATACCTCTTTGGAGGCCTTGGATGGAGGACTTGGCAGTTTTGATGCCCTGTGGAATGTGTTGTGACGCCCTGAGGCCTGGGCTCACTAGAGAGCCGCATTTCTGGTTGGATGTGGTACTTCTGTAGCCAGAGGCCAGCGTGGGGCAGCTTGGCTGCCTTCAGGGGGCTGGTGGTCCTCTTCCTGAGGGACAAATGAACCTCGTGTGGGGTTCTGGACAGCATCTCTGACAAACTCTCCCCTATCACATTATGACTGAACCCCCCCTAGGATCCAACTGGAATTACCCCAAACTCCCAGAATTATGTATCTTTAAAAATCTCAGGATTTTCGCCGTTAAACAGGAAAAATCCCTTGTGCTGCAGAGGTATTTGGGTGCCAGGGGCTGTACTAAGGTGCCTCCCCCTTGTCCACCCACCTGTTAGCCTGGGGCTCACTGTGATACCCTGGAGCTGAGCTGGGACCATCGTCATCCTCCCCAGAGGTGCCCAGGAGGCCATGTGGATTACAGGGCTCCAATGCGAGATCACCAGTCAGAGCCACTCTTGTGCCTCCAGGAAGGAAGGACAAACAGGCAAGAACAGATATCAAACCGTGCCAAAGCCTCAGCTCCATCAATCCATCAATTGCCTGGATGGCTCAATCCCATGTTTAGTTCGCACCCTCTTACCTGAATACCTGGGATGTGCTCCTGGCGTGTACATATACAGCTTGTCCTCAGCCTGGGCTTTCCCCCTGAAGGACATGGAGTGAAGGAAGGAAGGCTTGTCTCCTGCATGATCTGGAAACTCATTCCAGATGAAGGAGAGAAGATGGCAGCTTTCCTACTCACACCTTCCTGCCCTGGAGTTGTGTCCTACTGGCATGGGGCAGTGTGGAACAAAACCTCAGCTGGCTGGGCTCCTGATAGGATTAACACGTGTGTCTCCCTGCCCAGAAACTCAGGCACCTCTTGCCACTACTGGGGTCCCAGATCCCAGCCCTCCAGAGTGTCCCATGCCCTGGGTGATGCTCACCAGCGCCGGGGTGGGTGCCCAGCCCCCCTGGTATGAGAGGTGGCTGAAGCGGAGTCGGTGCTGGATGGCATCCGTGAGCTTGTGCACGACCCGTTTGTGGTCAGCTCTGGGGCTGTCCTGTGGTGGAGAGAACTCATATGTGTGATGGGCTAAGTGGGTGTGCCCCAGGGCTGAGACCTGTGCCCCACGATACACAATACACGGGAGGGTCTGGCCCTGGCGGTGCCCCATCATGCCTTACCCGACAGTGGGAAAGCAAAATCAGGGCCTCTTGATAGTGCCCGATGGCTTTCTGGGGGTCTCCCAAGTGGAGGCATGCTGCGCCCAGCCCCTCGCACGCTTGCCACTGCCCCTGCAAGTCCCCTGGGAGGCAAAGGGCTGCATCGGTCCCAGCACCGCTCAGCCAAGATCGCCGGCAGGCAGCATCACCCAGCTTCAGTCCACTCGGCTCCCGGATGCTGCAGACTCGCCCCAAGGGGCTGCCTGTGCCTCCCCTCACCCGAGTCCCGGAAGGCTTGCAGGGCGTGAAGGTAGCTCTCCGCGGCAGCCCCGTGGTTCCCGAGCTGGCTGCAGGCATAGGCCAGGTTCCCAAAGCACTGCCCCTGAGCCCTCCGGTTCCCCAGAGCACCTGGAATTGCGAACAGAGGGCTCCATGCCGAGCTGGCACAGCCTGCAGAGCCAAGAGGCAGAGGCAGAGGTGTGTCGGACCGTGCAGCGCGGCCGCCCGCCGGTGCCAGCCCAGCGCCGAGCCGAAGCTGCGCAGCGCGTTGTGAGCAGCGCCCAGGTTCTGCAGCAGCGCGGCCTCCTGCCGCCGCTCCGGCTCCCCCCCGCACAGCCCTAGGGCCCGCTCAAAGCTCTCGGCAGCCAGGGAGAAGATGTGGAGCTGAGAGTAGCCGAGGCCGATGTCGTTGTAGAGTTTCCCTGGGGGCAGAGAGGAAAAGCAGGCGTGGGAGGTGCTCTGCAGGGCCCTGAGAGCGAGGGGTGCGGCACGGCCTTACCTCGCAGGGCCGGGTCGGGGATGGTCTCGCAGAGTGAGCGGCACTGGGCGAGGACCCTGGCGATCTCCGCCGCCCGGAACCGCCGGCTCTGCAGCATGGAGCCGCCCGCCCTGCTCAGAGCCACGGCCGCGGCCTCGGGGCTCTCGGCCACCGCGAAGGCCCTCGCCGCGGCCAGGAAGCAGCGCGCGGCCCGGGCCGGCTCCCGCATGCCCAGGTAGCAGCAGCCCATCTGCACGCACGTCCCTGCTCGGCCACCAGCCTGCACAGCAGCACCGGCCTGCCCGGCGACTTTCTCAAAACGTTCCAGAGCCTTTGGAAAGTCCTGGAGCCCCTCATGGGCCGCCCCGACGCTGAAATAAAGGCTCCCCCTGTGGCCCCTGCTCTCCGCCTCTGAGGGTTGGGACTGGAGGAGGAACTCGAGGCCCTTTTTGGGCTTCCCAGTCTCCACATAGGCAGCCCCCAGGTTGAAGGCACAAGCCTGGTGGAGCTGGGGACTCGCTGTATCCCTAGAGAGGAGCAGGGCCTTCCTGAAGCACCCCACTGCCTCCCGCCCGGCGCCCAGAGCCAGCGCCCGGTGCCCGGCTCGTGTGAGGCCCTCGATCGCACCCACCCGCTCCGCCGCCTCCTCCCCTCCCTCCTGAGCTTCCCTGGCCTCAGCCTGCTTCTTCTTTTTCTTACGGCTCTTCTTGCAGCTGGTGGGGGCTGTGGGGGTGCTGGTGATGGTGGGGGCAGAGGGGGTGGTGGGCTGCACTCCCAGGTCAGCAGCCTCTTCCGAATCCATGGGCAGGGGCAGCAACTTGCCTGCAAGAGAGAGAGGTGCGTAGGCAGCCAAGGCAGCACGGTCCTGCCAAGGGAGCACTTCAAACAAGCAGCGTTATTTTATATTATTTATGAAAAAATAGGGGTGTCTTGTAGCCTGCTTGCTATTAAGTTTCAGGAAGGAAAAAGGCCTTTCCATGGAGGACCCCACAAACCTCGGTGGCCACGAGAGAGGAAAGAGGTCACTGGGGGAGGAGGAGGAGGGACACCACAGCGTGGAGTGGGATGTTGCTGGGGTGCTGGAGGCAGAATAACCGGTTGCACACACTTACTGTTTGCTCTTCAGATGCAAAGCGTGCCGAGTGCAGGGAGCAGAAAGACAGGGCATCCCTGCTGCTGCAGCCACATCGCTGCCACAAGCCACGGCTCTCTGCTGCGGGGATGGAGGGTGTCTGAGGTGCCTCTGCACTTGGGCTGCCTGGAAAGTTGCCTGGAGTGGGTAGCAGCCCCTGGTGATGGACGCCAGTGTTGGAGCACAGCTGGGTTCTGAGAGACAGGAGCGTGGCAGGTGGTGGCACAGGCTGGGACAAAGCCAGACCTGTTCCTGGGAAAGCACGTCCCACAATGGCCCCAGTGGCTCCAGTTTCATCCCTGTCACCAGGGTGGTGTGCAGTGCCATGGCAACTCAGTGCAGCAGTGCCAGTGTGAGCCCTGTGAAGGATGGATGGGAAAACTGTGTGATGGACAGGACAGCTGTGTAATGGATGGCACAACCGGCTCCTCGCTGTCTCAACAGCTTGTGGCAGGTGCTGGGGGCTTATTCCATGCAGGGGCAGGTTGATGATTTGGAGCAGGTTGATGGATGGGCTCAGAGCAGCGAGGGTCCAGGGCACCCCGGGGCTGGGTGACACGTCCTTGGTGTGGTACAGCACTGGCCCTTTGACACAGCCCGTGGAGCTCCCCTGGACGCCGGTGTGTGCCCATCCCCTGCACCCCAAGGCTCCCCTCGCTCTCTCAGTGTGTTTCACCTCCCCGCACCCCCAGCGCTCCCTGAGCTCCCCAGTGTGTGTCCCCCGCTGTCCCACTCTCCCCATGTCCCGCTGTCCCCGTGTCCCGCTGTCCCCGTGTCCCCATGTCCCACTCTCCCCATGTCCCACTCTCCCCATGTCCCGCTGTCCCCGTGTCCCGCTGTCCCCATGTCCCGCTGTCCCCATGTCCCGCGGTCCCACTACCCAGCAGCCCCCGCGCGGTGTCACGTGGGCGGCGGGAGATTCAAACCGCGGGCGGAGCCGCTGAAGCCATGGAGGGAGCGGGGCCGGGGCGCTGTGAGTGACCGGGAGCACATTCGGCCATGGAGGGAGCGGGGCCGGGGCGCTGTGAGTGACCGGGAGCACATTCGGCCATGGAGGGAGCGGGGCCGGGGCGCTGTGAGTGACCGGGAGCACATTCGGCCATGGAGGGAGCGGGGCCGGGGCGCTGTGAGTGACCGGGAGCACATTCGGCCATGGAGGGAGCGGGGCCGGGGCGCTGTGAGTGACCGGGAGCACATTCGGCCATGGAGGGAGCGGGGCCGGGGCGCTGTGAGTGACCGGGAGCACATTCGGCCATGGAGGGAGCGGGGCCGGGGCGCTGTGAGTGACCGGGAGCACATTCGGCCATGGAGGGAGCGGGGCCGGGGCGCTGTGAGTGACCGGGAGCACATTCGGCCATGGAGGGTGCAGGCAGCTCTGGGCTGCGGGACGATGAAGGGAGCAGGGGGACAAGTCTGGGGTGCAGCGAGCTGGGGGAGGACAGGTAGGTGCGGGGCGTTGGGGGGACAGGCCTGGGGCGCGGGGGACAGGTAAGGGTTGTGGGGACAGGTGCCCCTGCACAGGCACTCTGGGCGTGCAGAGGGATGGGGGAACACTCAGGGTGCAGGGGGCTGAGGGGGAACAGGCAGGTCTGCATGTGGGTAGAGCGACGGCGGTGGCAAGGTGCCAGGCCTCTGGGGAGATATTTTGAGGAATGGTTTGCTGGGGGACAGCCGGGTGCCCCCTAGAAATCGTGGGTGCCTCCAGCAGGAGCAGTGTCAGAGGACCCCAAAGCTGTAGCTGTGTTCCCCACCTCCTCCTCCCCGGGTGCTTGCTCTGCACCCTTCCCCACTTCAGTGCAAGCTCTGATGGCCGTTATTTGGGAAAAAGGGAAATTGGAAACTTTCCTCCCACTGCCAGAACAGAAGTTCTTGGCTGGTGGCACTCTGACGCTTGTGGCCACTCCCACGAGCGCTGTAGGAGGCTACTGCACCCAAAGCCCGGCTTCCTTTCCCAAATCTTAGTTTCAGTGGCCATGGGGGCTTCAGAAAGCACCCCTGAGCAGGGGTCTCTGATGGGAGGCCCCCTTTCTGCCCAGGTGAGCGCCTGACTGCAGATGAGATGGACGAACAGAGGAGGCAGAATGATGCCTACCAGTACCTGTGTCACCTGGAGGAAGCCAAGCGGTGGGGCTGCACTTGGGGAGATCCCCGAGCTTGGATCTGGGGGGTTAAGGGGAGGGACAGGGGGAATGGGCTATAATGCTGCAGAATGCTGCCTAGATCCTGAGGCTTTGTAGCTCCTCAAAGCTGTTTGGGGATTTGTGGTTTTTTTTTTTTTTGGGGGGGGACACTCAGCCCTATACCCAAACTGAAAACCACCCAGCTGCAAAAGCCGGAGGGCTGAGCTCCCCTGCCAGGGAGGATTTATTGGAATGGCGTTGAGGGGAATGTCCTTTGTGGGCTTTTCTGCTGGATGGGTGCTGGGGGTCCTTGATGTGCCCTGTCTCTGCCCTGCCAGCTGGATGGAGGCCTGTCTGGGTGAGGGCCTGCCCCCGCCCACGGAGCTGGAGGAGACCCTGCGCAACGGGGTCCTCCTGGCCAAACTGGGCCACTGCTTTGCCCCTGCTATTGTCCCCCTGAAGAAGATCTATGACCCTGAACAGACACGGTACAAGGTAAGGCTGTGGCACCAGGGGGAAGGTGTAGTACCCCTTAGGGAGTATTCCCAAACCTTCCCTGTGCTGGTGCGTGCAGAGTGAGGAGGGACTTGCTGGCAGCAGTCACTGAGGGATGGTTTTGTAGCAGGTGGCTGCAGTGGGGTCCCTGAGCTGTGCTGTCCCTGGGGGTCATAGGTGTTGGCTCTGTCTTTAACCTCCTGCCTTGGTTGGGTTGGTCTGGGGGCAAGTGGGACCCCAGGGATGGGAGAAAGTGGGGTTCAGCCTGACCTCAGCTCCTCTCTTCCAGGCAGCCGGGCTTCATTTTCGGCACACAGATAACATCAACCACTGGCGTAATGCCATGAGCCACGTGGGGCTTCCCTCGGTAACATCTCCCCTCTGCTTTCCCCAGACAAGGGACACACTGGCCTTTGCCTTGTGGCAGTACTGGAGGGGTGCTTGTATGGCAGGGGGGGCTTCGTCATTGCCCCCCACTCTTTGACAGCAGCTGACCTGGGAACTGTCTGGATGCCATTGCACTCTGACGTGTCTCTTGTCTTGCTGGCAGATCTTCCACCCAGAGACCACCGACATCTATGACAAGAAGAACATGCCCCGGGTGGTCTACTGCATCCATGCACTCAGGTGGGTGCCCTGGCCTGGCTGTCACGGAATGTCTTCGTGCTCATGAGCCCTTTGGTGGTGTCACCTGTCAGCCTCAGGTGACACAGAAGTGTTGGGAGGGAGAAGCAGGGGATGTAATGGCGTGGGTTTGTATTTCAGCTTCTACCTCTTCAAGCTGGGGCTGGCTCCTCCGATCCAAGACTTGTATGGGAAAGTGAACTTCACAGGTATGGTGCTGTGCAGGGAGACCTGGGCTGGGAGTTGCTGAGGGGGGTTTGCCACCAATGCTCTGGGGTCTCATGGCAGGAGGGAAGTGTGGAATGAAAGTCTTGTATGTGTTTTGCCAAAGCTGCCTCAGGGATGTGAACCCCAGTGTGTGGGTTTTCTGCACCCCTCTTGGCTGGGGAGAGGGGTCTCTTCTGGCTGCCCCTGCTCCAGTACTGGGCTATGGGGCTGGTGCTGAGCAGTGCTGCTTCTACTCTGCTCCAGAGGAGGAGATCAACAACATGAAGCAGGAGCTGGAGAAATATGGGCTGCAGCTGCCCGCCTTCAGCAAGATTGGTGGTATTTTGGCCAACGAGCTCTCAGTGGATGAAGCAGCAGGTGACGGGTGCCTGGTGGGGAGCAGGGCTGGGTGTCAGCCCGTAGCATGATCTTGGCTCAACCTCTGAACATCAAATCTGGAGCCAGCAAAATGGGAGGGGGTGCTCTGGGAGTTGATGGTGGTCTGGGTGGGAGGCACCTGGTTGTTCTCTTTCAGCCCAGCACAAGGCTGCAGGTGCTGGCACAGCCCTTTCCTAGCCAGCAGCAGCTGGGGTTCTGCATTCCCTGGGCTTGCTGTGAGACACAGACTTCCCAGAGAGCTGGAGACCGCAGCTTGCCTTTTGAACAGGGCGGGTTCCCACCATCACCCTTGGAATGCCTTGTCCCACTGCATGCAGGGATAAAGCAGGTGGGCTATCTTGCCCCTCCATGTCCCATCTCACTCACCTCGTCCCTGCCTCGCCTCCAGTCCACGCTGCGGTGTTGGCCATCAACAAAGCGGTGGATCGGAGGGTGGTGGCCCAGACGATGGAGACCCTCCACAACCCCCACGCCATGCTGGTGGGACTGCGTGAGGAGCTGGCAGGTGCCTACCAGGAGGTGCTGCACCAGGCCAAGCTGGAGAAGGGCAGCAATGCCAGAAACAGGGTGAGTAGGGCACAGGATGCTCCAGGGTGGCTGGGAGAGGAGCAGCCCCTTTGCTGATGGGCAGGCGGGTGCTTCTGGCTGGAGGGGTCCCTTGGCCAGAGACCATATGGTGCTTGCTGGCTGAAACATGGCCTGGGAGCCCTTGTGCTGAGCAGAAGATGGGAGAGATGATTCCTCTTTGGGGGCTGGTTCACTCAGAGCTTGGCGTTGGGAAATGAGCCCAGGCATCTGCAGGGGACCTCACTGTGCATGGCAGGG